ACTGTTCACTATAGAATTTGAGTATAAACTTGGAAATAATAAATTTTTAATCTTGCAAATTTCCTCTTTAACTATGCTGGAGTGTGAATATTCATAAAGAGGGGACTTTTATATGTAGTGATGGTGAAATGCATCATTCATCTCAGGAAATGGAATATTAGAAAGGTGGGCATTCACCTGTGTGGGAGATAGGTTCAGTCTGCAATTAATAAACTCCTTCACAAGTAAGAACTATAACAAACCTTTCTGCTTGGGATGAATAAAAGGACCTTTTATTTGACCTCTCCTTCTTCAACTTTCAGCAAAGCAATGGATGTACTACAAAGATAAAAGCTGGCTCTTTAGAAGAGGCTGTGTGTGCTTTTTCTGTAGCAGGAAGTTGAAACAGCCAGCATTTGTGGAGCCATAAAGTGCTGCAGCTCAGTACAGTAGGAGAATATACTCAAAATCATCTGGTGTAAGAATACAGAAAATGCATCCTCAGAAGGAGAAGGGGAAACATGAGTGTTTTCCACTTTTTTCTTTTTCTTTTTTTTTCCCCAGTAATACTACTAATGTTCCTCCTACTGTGCACAATGTTAAAATGCTTATCGCAGTTTGTTAGATATTAGGATAGTAACTCCTTGCTGTAACGGTTTAGCAATAATCACAGGTGGTTTTGTTGGTTGGTTGGTTTTGTTTTGTTTATTTGTACTTGTTTGGGTCTTGTGTTCTCTTCTTGCACGTTGAAGGACATGAAATGTTTAATTCTCAGAACAGAGGTTTTATTTTTGTCTTGTCTCTTTGGTCCATTTTTATGCAGATTAAAATTATTTTAAAAGTTTTGCAGCACCTTGCAGGAACCCAGTGTTGTGTCAGCTGGCAGCATGAATGTTTCAGGTTTCTGCTGTTCATGCTGCAGATAGTATCAGCTGCAGCAAAGCTCTTCCTATGCCAACAGCCCTCGATCAAAGGGCATTGAGAGGTTAAAAAGATGGGTGTGGTAGCAAAATATCCTCGACCTGTGTAAGATTTGGATATCTGAAGCTGAGAGAACAGGGCTTGATTTGATTTTTATTTATTTTACAAGGAAGGTGAAAGCAACTGTAAGAAAAAGGCTGAGGAATCAAGGAAATACCTTGACTAAACACTGAAACTTAAACATTTGCTGCAATGTGCAGTTGTAATAAGCAAAGAGAATACTGTTGGAATGATAGTTACACTTACCATTCTGTTAGAAATCTCTTTTTGGTTGCTTTAATATTTGCCTCTGGCTAAACCTGCACCTATTCTGCCTATCCCTTACCAGGTATTCATTTGACTGATGAATAGGTGCTTATCAACTGCTACTTTGCTCCACTGTCTGGTGTTATATCTGAATATGTGTCACAAAACTTTACATTTGTGACAACAGTGTAGTTCAACTGTCACCTGTACTTGCCTTATGTTTTACAGATACTCTGTGTGTTAAGCAGAATATTGCTCATTCAGGGTACTTATTTAGTGTAAAATGAAGTTTGGTTATTCTGTGGGTTTACTTAGTGTAAAATGAAGTCTGTGGTGTAAAAATCTTCATTCTTTAAAGATTGTCAGTTGTCATGTTTGCTAAAGGGAATATAGTCTATGCAGTGGCATTCTGCAGTAATGTCCACTGTCTGCCTTAAGATGTAAATGAAAAAATACAAGGCAACCATTGCTTGTAACAAGCATTTATGGCTATGTTTAGTCTTCTGAATAGTTGTATAGAATATCCCATATAATCTTTAAGAAAGTATGCTCTTTGCCAGATAGTGTAATTTCATACACTTCTCATCAGCATCTCCCTGTTTCCTCTTGCCACCTTAAGTAGCGGACCTGTGTTAAATGGCTGAGTGCTGCAGGCATTGAGGGAATTGTCTTATTAGTAAAGTCAAGAGTGTCTGTGTTCAGGGTTACTGAATGTGGCTGAGTCCTAAAGGTAAATGAATTGCTTCATAAACTTCAGTGATGGAGTTGGAGCAGACAAACCTATCAGTACTGCTGCCCAGGCTCACTTAGAGTGTGCAGTATATTTTTATGAATTTTCCAGCAGTGGTTTAGGACTGTCCTCCCCAAGCTATTTGTTCTTCCTCTCTTTTGGCATCAGCATTCCAGTGATGGTGCATTGTATTGGGAGGAACTGGAACTACTGAGATGCAGGCACATGTTTCTTTCTGTCATGGAAAGGCAGAGGAGCGTAGCAGACGTGACTAGCAAAGGTTTGAAATAATGCGGCTGTTTGCTCAATGCGTGTGAGCTGGATTTAAATTTATAAATACTGTTGGCCCTCCTGCTGTTGAGGAAAGACTGGATCATGTTATAACATTCTGGCATCACAAACTTTATACACTACTTTTGTTTCCAGGAGAAGCCATTTTGTCTTCCCTTATCTGCTCTGTTTCCAGCATCTTGTTCCTTTGCCAGTTTTGCTTAAATATTTGCTTAAATATACATGAAATTAATCTCTAGTGTAACTAGTCCTTTTCTGGATGAAGTTCAAAATGCGGTAATATGGTGCCAGCTATAGGAATGAGTGGTGGGGAGGAAGAGAAACTTGGGGAGAAAAAGGAGGAGGATGGCATGGCTATGTAAAGGGGCTGGTTTGTTCCCATTTGAAGTTTAGAAGCTATGGCTGTAGTGTTACTAATGCAGGGGCTGGTTAGCCTCAAGCAATACATGTAGGAGGTGAGAACCTCTTATTGCAATGAGGTATTGATTCTGGAATTCAGGGAAAGCCATTCTGCCAGATTTCAGTCAATTGCCTGAGTACACTATCCTAAGATGCGCTTACCCTATAATTTCCACCCCCACACCTCCCAGCTTCTGTAGCCTGTACAGGGTTTGTACTGAATGTATAAATAACTGATATACTTTATTGTAGCTCCTGTCAGCTATTTTTATACTGTGATTTTCCATATCAGCAATTACACTGTTTCTATAAGCTTTATTTTGCTCCTGTAGCATGACACCTGATTCCATAAACATGCCCCTGGGTTTGGGCTGAGCTCAGTGTGAGCCAGTGTCATAAGTCCTGGTCCCTGGTGTCAATAGATACTTTTTTATCTCAAAGTTAATATTAGGTGTTTATCCTGTTCCTTATATTGAAGATGCTGTGATTTAGGGATTATGGTATGTTAGTACTGATGCCTCTGCAAAGAACTGTTGGGATGTGAGAGTGCTCTGTGCTGCACAGGCTTTGTGCAGATATACAAAGGACCACATGGGCAGAGGAATGTGGGATGATTTTCCACAACCCTTTCTGGCTTCTTCTGAAGTGAGGGAACTTTGTCTTGAAAATGTACTGTTCACTAACCCCTCCTCCATCAGTGAAATCCATTTGCAGGATGCTAAAGCTGACAAATGGCCATGAACTGTAACATTAAGGCAAGGGAAACACTGGATGTGTTTTCAGAGCTGTGTAAGCAGCTGTGGCTCATTGATCTTGCTTGATGGTGCAGGAGCATCACACATCAGCAGTTTTCTTGGCTCTATTTATTTCTTGGCCCTATCATTTGGCAGAAAAGGTCACCTTTTTAACTGGCTGGTTAAAGACTCATGGTCATGACAAGTGTCTCATGAACACCGCTGACAATTTTGCCAACTGTGGAACAAAATGTCTTAGCTTTGGGAGATGACTATATCTCCTTCATGTGGGCTCTGGAATCAGTGTGATTCAGTGCCTTGTGCCTTTCTTGGATGTGCTTCATCAGTTGGTCTTTCTTTAGAAGCGTCCTCTTCAATGGATTTTTAAAACAATGCTAGTATTTGTTTTTATCATTCTCTGCAGCCTGTTTCAGTGGAAGATCGCGAAACAATCGAGCTACAGACCTTGATGTGCAATTTTTTAGTTTCATATGTCAATTTCAGTGGAAATTGACATGTAAAGCTTAAACTTCCCTTCGAGTATTTTTTCCCCGTGTTTGTTTAGGGTGATCAAAATAACCTTGTTTTGGGTAGGTTTTGAGGGCTTGTCCAGACTTTATAAACCTCTAATTGTCTTACTTGTTAAATACCTCTGAGCACATGACCAGAAAGCAGCATGTGAGCAGCACCTCACCTCTGGAGTCAGGTGCTGCAGCACAGATCACAGATCGCTGTGCCTCGGTACAGCGCTCTCCGAACACGCATCGCCTGCCAGGGTGTCTCAGAAGGGCGTTTGCTAAACATGCGCAGGTCATTCGTGCATCTCGTACACAAGGGTTCATGCCTGTAAGGTTATTGTTAAGCCTTCATAAAAGTAATTACAGTGCCATGGTATTATTTACAGTCATCGGCTACTTAGACTTCAAGTGTTGCAGTAATAACTGTCCTGCTACGTATCAGGGAGTGCTTCCTCGCTGATTAATTTGGGATAGCATCCTTCTTCCTTGCGTGTGTTGACTTCCTGAGGGAAGCAGGTGGCTCCTGCAGAGAGGGCTCAGCCAGTCCTGGGAGAAATGGGCAACCTGAAGGCGGCAGCGCCGTTCTGAATTGTCCTGAAGAGCATCACCGGGGGGCTGAGGCAGCTGCCGCTACGGGCCTGGCAGGGGCGAGGGATTTCTTGCAGTTAGCGCTGGCCATGGTGGTACGGGGGTGCGCGTTCACATCCTGTTCTTGAACGGCGTAGATCCCGCAGCCGCGGGACTGCACTAGGCTGGGCCTTCCTTAGACTCGACTCGACCCGCAGGGCCCCGCTGCCCTCGGCCCGTGAGTGCCGCGGAGGGTCCGGGCCCAGGCGGGACTCGAACCCGGGGCTCTGGGGGGGCCCGGCGCGCACGCGCCTCCGCAGCCCCTGGGCGCGCACCGCCCCCTCGCCGTGACGGCGCCGCGCGGTGACGCCTCGCGCTCCCTGCCTGTCACGGGGCCCGGCGCGCGCGGGGCGGAGCTCGCGGGCGGCAGCGGCGGCGGCGCCTCGCGCCCGACGGGACCCCCGGACCGGACCGGCCGCGGCCGCAGCGCCACCGCCACCGCTCCCGCCGCCTCCTCCAGCCCCCGCTCCCGCCGCGCCGGTCTCGGCGCCGCCTGTCACTGTCCCCGCCGTGCCCCGGCGCGGCCCGCCCCCGCCCCTTTCCCCCCCGCCCCCGGGGGGGTGGGCTCCGCTCCGGAATCCTGGCCGCTCCCTCCGCGCCGCCCGCCCAGCCGGGGCTGCGCCCGCCGCCGCCGGGCAGCGCGGGGGGTCCCCGGCGGCCGCCCGGCCTCCGCCGTCACACAGGTCGGTGGGTGCGCGGGGCGGCCCCGGGGGTGCGGGAGCGCCGGGGGCGGGTCTGTCCGGGCGCCCCGGGGTGCCGTGGGGCAGCCCCGGCTCCCGGAGGTGCCCGGGCTGGGGGGCACGGCCCCGGCCCGATGCAGGTGGAGCTGCGCGGCGGTGCGGTTGTTTGAGGAGCTGGGCGCACGCTCGCTGATCTTCGTTGCTTGAATTGCAGCTGCAAAACCTTAAGTATTTTACGAGCTTTGCGAATATTTCTGTGTCTCCCGTAAACCTCGCCGCGATCGCACGGTGATGCTGTGGGCTCTCGTCTTCAAATTGCTCTGCAGTGGTAGCGGTGCTGTGAATTGGGTATGTAGGTCAGATACTGCGAGATGTTTTTGTCAGGGGAAAAAGTGAATGTTGGATTATTTATTCCCCTGTTGCATTTGAAGTGCATTGCAGCACCCACGAGGTTGGGGTTTTTTCCCCCAGTTTCCTCTCTTGCTTCATAAATCTGGTTTTAGTTTTGTCATGGAGTGTCCTCTAAGAGGGTGGTGAAAGATAATAGAAGCCTGCCTTGAAATAAGGGGGATTTCTAGTCCATGCAGAAAATGTCTCTCAACTACAACATTTCTCTTCTTTAAACAATGCAGCACGTTGCAGAGTTAGAGGCCTTCAGAATTGTGTTGCTGTGTGTATGGCAAAGATGTGTTTGCAGAATGAATGTGTACAAGCTTGTCTCGCGTTCTCTCATGGCATAGCACTTACTAGCAGAATACCCTACAAAGCATTCTTTTCCTGTGGAATTCCCAATGGATATTTTTAAGGGAAGGGGCATTGATGAGTTAGTATTTATGCCACACTGAAAAACCTTAAAAGAATTTTCTTGTTTGTTATTTTTTCCTGCTTTCATATATACCCTTGCTTACAGTGGCCTGGTAATTAACTGCTTTCCTCAGAAATCTATTTAAAAATGAGAACTTGCTGTAATTCCTGTTTTCTTTACGCTTTGTGTTCCATCATGATTGCCACTGAAATGTATTGAACCCAAATTTGATTCAGATATTGATTCAGATAATGAGGCTGTATATAATTAACTTGATTTTCTTAAGGTTTTATTGTATTTTAATAAAACAGAATAGGAAGATAATGTTTATCAGACTGAATCATTGCTGGAGAAAAAAAAAATCTGTGTAGAGTTTGCCTTGATGAACTCTGTGTCAGTGTTTAAACAGGTGGTTTACCTGTCACTAATGGAAGACTATGGCAAAGAAAACAGATGTTTCTGAGTTCCTTGCCTTGGCTTGCTGAGATTTCTAAACTGTCAGAGGAAACTTTTTAAGATAGCTGTGGCGTTTGGTAATCTTGTGAGTTTTTATAGTATATGTGAGTAGACAGAGAGCTGTGACAGATAGAATTTATTAATATGGTGAAACGAGCATTATTGTGTTGTTTAATATTGTGGTAGGGAAGCTTTTTTTTTTTTCTTTGCATTGATAAAACTAGCTAATTTATGGTAAAAATAAATAACCTTTCAATTTTGGTCATAGACTTGTCAGTAGTTCTTTGCTGTGGTTGTTTGGAAAGCTAGTCAGTGCACAGGCTTGTGGAATTTGAAGCCTGTTGAGGATAAATGCAGAAGAGATTGTTTTATTATAAAGTTTTCTTCTGAAGAAAGCAAACAAGGTGATCATGCTGTAAATTTAGGCTGCATTTGTCATTTTTACTTCACATTTTTTCCTTAATGTTTCCTAAAATAAAGTGTTCATAGTTAAGTACAAATCAGAATTATTGTTTTTTAAAACCCTATCATTAATAATAAGTATTTATGGAGAATGACTTGAAAAAAGCTCTGCATATTTTAGCAATCTTAAATTTTATTTTTTGTCTTTCATCTTTACTGCAGGCTGACTTTTTACATCAGCAAACTAAGTCAAAAGTAACGAGTAACACGTAATTTATTTTTGTGACAGGTTGTTCAGTGGCTCTCTACCTGGGCATTCTGTGAACTAAAAATAATGTTTTCTTATAAAATGCAACCTGAGAATGATAATGGATTGATTTTCTTCATTTATTCCCCCTCTTCCACCAAACACACGACCACAAGTGTTCTGATCTATGGAAAGGTACACATTTAGTTTGGAGTAATGAATGTATTTTCTAGTAATATCTTTTTAGATATTTGTTGTTAACATTATCTTCTACTATTTGGAGAAAAATAAATGAATGGTGAAAATGTGACTGATTTATGCAGTTAAATACATATTAAATACGTTTGCAGAAAATGTCTCACATTTTCATATGTATGACAAGCTAATGTAAATGTGTATATGGACTAGTGACTCCACCTAGGTTTATCTAATTAGCAATTAAGTTTGTCGACCTGCGAGTTTAATTTCTAAATGTAAGCTTTTAAAACACAAGTAGAACTGACACAGTATTAAATTTAGAAAAAAAAATTTAAAAATCTGTGAATTTTATTAAACATCAGTTTTTCTGTGGGAGGGAAGAAAAATCTTTTTTTAAAAGAATAAATACTGCATTTACTATTTTAGTATTCTGGCATTTTGTAGTGCTAAGGAATAGGTCAAAATAGATCATGCATGCTATAATTGCACATAGCTTGCAGAATAACATTGGAAACATGTAATTGGGCAGTGGGAACATGTTCAGAATGCAGCGTGTTAGCTGTGATTCACTTCTCACTTCTGGATCTTGGCATGAGATCTTGATATGACAAATGCAGTTTATGGCTCTATGTTAACCCAATTTCTTAGGCTAAACATGCTTGTTTGCAGGTTTTTCTGGCATGTTTTTAATGTATTCACCTTCAGAGTAATTTTTAGAAGCTATGGAAGGGTTGGTAGCAATAAAAAAAGGAAAGATGGAATTCTGTATTTGGATATTGCAGGGATTTCTCTGGGAACCACCGCTCTAGAGACAGTTTACCCACAAATATACATATGGCAGAGTTTAGGGCCCAGCTTAATGAGGTTACTTGAAGTTGGCCAAAGCAGAATGATCTGCATTGTCCTTTAAAAACTGAGAGTCGGGAATTGATAATGCAGGGAGACCTGTAGAGACGTGTCTTTTTTCCTGTCCATTTGTGAACTCTTACTAATGTTTACTTCTATATCTCAAATTATTGCATATTTTTGAAAATATACCAGCAAAGTGTAACTTGCTTTTTCACATGAGAGGAAAATAACTTTCTTCATGCTGAAGTATTTTTTCTTTGCTGTAACTTTGTTTTCAACCATTTTTTAAATTCAAATCCTTCACTGTGTCATTCTCACTTGCTTCTCCTTCTTTATTTCCATTCATCATTTGTCCATTTCTGTGGATTATCTGCAGCAGTAAAAGATGCTGCTTTTGTTTTCCTGAGATATTTTGTGCTAAGTGCACTTATAATCTGACAAGAGCAGTGTAATAAAATTCATATGCTTCAGATATTTATGCTGTACTTTTGAAGTTCAAGTATGATAACACTGATGAACAGTTCTCATTTGGATGAAGGAATAAGTGATGGATATGTAAGAAGGGAAGGGATTTCATGAGGTCAGCCCCTACTCGAGGCAGAAACAAATATGCCGCAATCACGTCTGGCAGACATTTGTCTGATCTTTTCTTAAAAAACTCAGAAGAGGGGAATACCACAGCTCTTCACTGATCTATTTATAGCTAGTACATGACTATTACTATCGTTTGCAGGCTTTTCTTAACATTTAACTTGAGTCTCTGCCTTGGTGCTAGTTAAGCCAGTTAATTCTCATCCAACTCTTATTACTCATGCGGGATAATGAGTTCTGTGCTCTTTTCACGAACTGTTTGCATACATGAAGACTGTTCCTCTGTCTCCTTTTATTTCAGACTTCTCTTTATTAAACTGTGCAAACAGGATTTTTGTTGCTCCCTCTCACTGGACTCTATGTGATTTGTCTGTATCTTTTTCCAAAGACAAAGTCTTTGAGCAACTGAGTAATGAACTTACTCTGTAAGTTGCAGCAGAAGTAACGTGACAGACTTGTTAAAATGTCATTCTAGGGTGTGTGCATACAGGTATGGTTGGGTTTTGGTTTTGTTTTGTTGTTGGGGATTTTTTCCTTGCCAACAACATTTGCTGACACAGGAGCTCCTATTAGCATTTGTTAAATCAGGCATCTCTTTCTTCATATATACAAATTGAAGTTATCGTTCGAATTCAGTCTTCATTTCAGGTTAATTTTCTTCTATTAAGCATTTCTAGACTTAGTAGAATCACTTCTCAGTAAGTTATTCTACAGGAGAATATGCAGTTGTTGCTCTTCCGTATCTGTTTTCCAACACATACAGTCCCTGTGGCTTTTGAACATAAGCCTGCTCTACAACAGGGAACTTGATTGAGAGCAAGTTCTCCTAGGGTTAGATGCAGCTTCTGTTGGCAAAAATGTGTCTTTATTGGTCGGTGTTATACATGTGCTGTCTTTGAGGTAAATTGCATTGCTGCGATACCTTCTGTCAGTGTAACTGTACCTGAACAAGCCTTTTGCCATTTTGAGATGTCATATGGTCCAATGACATAGTAGAAGAAATTTTTATCCTCTAGGCATGCTTTACTGGAAGAATTGCAGAGTCAGCTACGAAACAGATGTGTTCAACATGTTCCCTGGTTTTACTCCATTTTGTCTGACTTACGTAAATGATTTTATCCATAATTTTTGAGGCTAGATCACAGATGGGACAAATTTTGTGATTCTTTCATCAGCACTTTCTTCACAAAAAAAATGAAACAGACACCAATAATGATTATTAAAGGAGACTTCTTTTGGTTTCTTGCTGGAAGAAGTATTTAAGCAGTCAGTGTTGCTTACCTCTTACCTGTCCTCAAAATTATTTTAAAATAATTTAAACAGGAGTTCTGTAAATGCCAACAGTTTGAATGCCGTGTTACCAAAATGGTAACAATGGGAACTACAGTCTCACCTTCGAACAAAGATTTGAAAATTGGAAAACCTCTTGATCAAGTTGTTGTTTGACTTGATTAA